TCCATCAACACTGCCCCTGCCCCCTGAAGCCACTCGCACCCGTGCAGAGACGCCGGCCTGGTGCCCCTCCCTGTCCTCCCACGCACCCGCCACCCACACGCTCTTCCTGCTGAGACCTGAGTGTGTAGCCCGTGGGGCTCGGGAGAGGGTACGGTCGGCCACGGGGCCCATCTTGGCTGCCCGGGGACAAAAAGCCGTGGGTGGAGAAGGCCCAGAACAGGAGCCCCGAAACCAGACGGGAGGCTGACTCCGTCCGTCTACTGAGTTCTTACGTGTGCCCGCCTGGGGTGTCCCTGACACCAACCTCCCAATGTTGTGCTGCCCACTGAGTGTCCTGCGATTACATTCAACGCCGCCGCTAACTACCTCAGATTCCAGTGGCCGGCGGGTCCCAGGCCACCCGTACTTCCCATCGGCTCGCTGGAAACCAGAGATTCCGCGACCCCCTTCTCAGGTTAGACAATCTTCTGGAAAGGCTCACAGAACTCAGGAGCGCACACTGCTTACATCTGCCAGTTGGTTGCAAATACACCACCCTTTTCCCACGCCCAAAGGGCTAGGAAGCACAGGGCCGGGTGTTGGGGGAGGGCGGATGGCACACACAGCTTCCACGGCCTTTCTGGGCAAGCCCCTCCAGCACCTTGCTGTGCTCGCCAACCTCTCGGAATCCCATCGCTGGGGAGTGCTTTGGAATCCAATCTCCAGCTCCCCGACCCTTCCCAGAGAGAGGCCAGGTGGGTGGGGCTCATCACTGGTCCTTCTGCGACCTCCTTCTGAGGCTCTCTCGTCACCTCCTTAGCAGAAACTCGTGTCTGATGGAAAGGGACTCAGACCAAAAGACACTCCCAACACTCAGGAAATTCCAGGAGTTTTAAGATCTCTATGTTAGGAACCAGAGATAAAAACCAAACACGTATTTGGTTTTTTGGTGGCATAATTTGTGGTATAATTGGTGGCATAATTTGTATTATGCCACCCGGACATGTACCTCCCATCGTCATCACAATCCTCTGCGGTACGTACTGTATTTTATCTCCCATTTCACAGATGAGAAAACCAAGGCCCAGGTAAAGTAAGTGGCCTGCCCAAAGTCACGTGATCAGTACAATGGAGCCAGGACTCGAGAGCGCGTTTGGAGGTTCTGGCATAGCCTGGACTGAAGAACAGTCCTCTGCCCGGGAAGGCCGTCCTCTTCCACCAGGCAGGCAGCTTTGGGAGGGACAGGCATGGAGCAGGGCGGGAGGAAGGGGACACCCGCCTGGCCAGCCAGATCAGCTGGGATCAGCCCTGGCGATGCATGGGGTGACAGAGGTCGCAGCCCGATGGCCCTCGTGCCCAAGAGCCAGGATTTGAACCCAGCACCGGAGTCCATGCTCTTAGCCACTGGGCTCACAAAGCAGGAAGTGGAACGTTCATCTCAGGGAACATGCGTAGATGTCACTTAAAGGTTGGGCTGGAGTTTAGTAAGGACAAAGGTCACGGCCCCTTCCTGCGGGAATGTCTAAACCACACACAGGTGCCTCGTATGTGGCAGAACCCGGTCACCGTCACGGGAGAGAAGCCCTTGCAGACCCAAATATTTATCTGGGTGGCTCCCACAGCGCTGATTCATTCCTTCTGGTTGAGCCATGAACTCTTCTGGGTCATGAACGTCCGGTAGGAATGTTCCAACAGGACAGGCAGCTGGGCACAGTCTCCTCTGGGGGGTACGGCACAGGGACGGGATCTCAGAGGACTGCCCAGTGGAGAGCCATCCATCCTGGGGGCCGGTGGGGGCTGGAGGGTCACCGCTCTGTGCCTCCACCTTGTCACTCTGGGCTATCGGAACCCGGAGAAAGGTCAGGTTTGCAACCATCGATCCGTTTACGGGTGGCCGTCATCTCAGCCACCGTTGCCCTGGTCTGTGTCGTCAGGATCCAGCCTCTGAAGGGCCACAAGGCCCAGAAGGGGGTTGGAAAACCTAAGAATTAAAAGGTGAACAGCCTGGGTGGGGCCCCAGACAGACTCGTGAGAGAACAGGGCCTGGGGCTGGGAAAATGTCAGCCGCCGCAGTCTCCGAAAACCTACACGTGTTTATCGTCCGCGTATTAATATATTCTTCACCCACCCCCACGCTCCCCCAGCTTAGTGCAGCTCCCCTGTGACGTCTCCGCCTTCCCTGGCTCTGCCACCGGCTATGGGTGGGGAGTGGACCCCTTCAAGAGTTCGGCTCCGATAGGGCCAGGGAACCACAGTGAGAAAGCCTCAAGGGGAAGTGAAACTTTCAAGACTTTTTGAGATGGTCTCCTGCTTCCTAGAGACGACAGACTATAGCAATTAAAGATTTGGACTCTGGTGCCAAGAGTTCCTGGGTTCAGACCTTGGTTCTGTTATTTACTAGCTGTGTCTGTGTGGATGAATGACCATTCTGGCTCCCTGTCTATTAAAACAGTCGTCCTCACCCTGCTGTGGGGGCCAAACGAGCTAATTCTCCAGTAAAATGTACTCAACCCATGCCCTGCAGGTACTCAGCACTCAGCAGGTGTACCTGCTGCGCAGCTCTGGTCCACCTGTCCCAGCCCGCACCCGACAAAGGCAGATGGGAGCCCCAGACCCTTAAGAGCATAATGTCTAGTAGGGTCCGGTAGATTATATCCCTGCTCTGGATTTGGACGGAAACTTTTGGAAAGCCCCTCCCCCTTGCTCCGATCAGAATTAATTCTGCCTCATCTCTATGATCTTGTCCCTTAACCCAACCTCCCCTGAAGAGCTTAGCACCTCCCATCAGAGTGTATTTAAAAGTTGTCAGGCTGCCTGGCCAGATTTTCTGAGGTCAGGAACTAAATTCAAGTCATCCCTCTATCTCAAACCTCAAAACAAAAAGATTCTGATGTGGGCAACTCGTGGTCCACTCCTCCCTGCACCTCTGAGGACAGACAAGGAGGCTTCCCATGGGAAGAGCACTTAAGAAAGAATCCGGAATCGGAAGACAAGTTCCCACCCTCCGCTCCAGGGTCTTCACCTGGCAGTGACTCAGTTTCCTCGTCTATACCTGCAAAACAGGAAAGTGGCTCCCACCCCATCCGCTTCCCCAGGTGGGTGCAGGAGCCAAATGTGAAGACCCTTGGGGACGGAACAGCCTCAGAGAGGGGGTGTCACAGTAGAATTCCTTTCCAGACCTTGAGTGTCTTCCTTTGGCAAGAGGAAATCACAGAAACGCTGTGTGACCCAGGCCAGAGGCCTGTCCTCCCCTCCCCGAGTTTTCCTGCCTGCGAACCCCTGCACAGCCTGCCCCGGGCTGTGGCTGCCCCTTTCCTGAGGAATGCAGCCTCAGCCCCCTGCCTGCCGGCTGGGGAGTCCGTTCCCCCTCTCCTTCCTCCATTTGCAATCACTATTTATTTATCTTTGGAAGTTCAAGGAAGCAGAGCCTGCAACTGGGAGAGATCTGTGGAGCCAGGGAGGGAAAGTGAAGAGGCCAATGTCTAGGCTGGTGTCTGCCGCCCACAGGCTGGGGGGGAGGGAGGGAGGGGGACAAGCCACTTCCCTGCGAAGGGGGTGGGCGATTTGGCTGACGGGACACAGGGGTCCTGGAAAAGGCACCACTCACACCAGCAGGGCAAGCCACTTAGGGGCAGTGAAGATGGGGAACAGGAGTCCTGCCCCAACCCTGGCAGCTCTGTTAAGTGGCAGAAAGGCAAGACTTTGTGGGGAAACTGAGGACACCTGAGCCACGCTTCCCTTTCCTCTGTCCCCAACCCTGGTTCCTGCGTGTTGCAGTCCATCTGCCACCACAGGCGTCTTTCATTACCCCCTCCCTTGTCAAGGTCAAACCCAGCCAAGGCCGCCAGTCCTCTGCCTTTGGAAACTGAGTGGTCCCTGCTCTCCCACACTCACTCTCCTGCCACAGTTTGCATTTATACACCAGGTAGCAGGCAGGGCCCCCACTGTGGGCCCCGGGTCACCTACCCCAGGATGTCAGAGGCTGTGTCCAAAGTCAGACACTAACAGGAGGCGAAGCTGAGTCTGGACTCACTGTCCAGTGCTCCTTCCACACTCTGCCGCAGAGCCCTGCTCCTCCTGGTCACATCTTCCCACTCGCTCACTGTCCTCTCCTGCCCCCAACACACACGGGGATGTCAAAAAGGTAGGAGGCCAGATGCAGCCTTGTCCGCCTTGGCCTTTGACCTCTCCGTGGCCGAATGACATGCACTCCCCGCTGGGCGAGGTCGCGCGCAGCAGAGGAAGGTCTGCTGAGCCCCGGGTCTCTGGCTTGTACCCTCCCGCGGTGGCCTCCACGGGGGCTTGGGGGCAGGCGGGGCTGGGCGAGCGAGAGCCGGTTTCCAGGCTGGCCCGCCGTGCCCGGGACCACGGGAAACGGCAGACTCCGAGCGGGGCGCAGAGTGGACCACACGCACGGCGCACTGGACACCCCTGGCCGAGCCCGCCGGCGCGGACAGCCCCGCGGCGTGGGCGCGGACGGGGCACGGGCGAGGGGGTTGGGGGAGGTGACGGCGCTGGGCTTAGAGGCCTGAGGTGCATCGTGGAGAGGAAGGGTCTGGGGCGAGACGGAGAGGAGGCTTGGATCAGGGGGCGGGGACGCGGGGCCCGGCCCGCCCGCCCGCGAGCGCCCAGCGAGGCGGCGGCCGCGCGCGCGGCGGCGCTAGGCCGGCGGAAGCGGGCGGCGGGCCGGGCGGCGCCGAGCTGCTCCCATCCATGGCACGCAGCGGCGGCGGCGGCGGCGGCGGCAGAGCCGGCGCGGTCCGCTAGGTCCAGCCCGCGCCGAGCGAGCGCGCGACGCGGAGGCGGGCGTCCCGGCCCGCGAGCACAGCGCCCCCCGGCCGCGCGCCGGGCCAGCCCGCGCTGACAGCCGCGCCGCGCCTCCCGCCGGGCGCTCCCGGACATGCCCCCGGGCGCGGCGGGGGACCCGGGCTTGCCTCCGCCAGGGCCCCCCGCCCCGCCCTCGGGCGCCCCGGGCCCGCGCTGAGCACGCCTCCCGCACGCCCGGGTCCCTCGGGCCAGCGCGCAGCGGGCCCCAGCGCCGGAGTCCCCGCGGGCGATGGGTTGATGGGCGCCGGGGGACGCAGGATGCGGGGGGCGCCCGCGCGCCTGCTGCTGCCGTGGCTGCTGCTGCTCCTGGCGCCTGAGACGCGGGGCGCGCCCGGCTGCCCGGTGCCCATCCGTAGCTGCAAGTGCTCGGGGGAGCGGCCCAAGGGACTGAGCGGCGGCGCCGCCAACCCAGCGCGCAGGAGGGTGGTGTGCGGCGGCGGGGACCTCCCGGAGCCGCCCGAGCCCGGCCTCCTGCCTAACGGCACCGTCACCCTGTGAGTACCCTTCCCGGCGGGACCAGCGAAGGCGAGACGGGAGGGGCAGGAGGGGGTCCCGCCACTTCGGAGACGCCAGGACAGGCCCGAGTCCAGGCGCCCAGAAGGGAGGGTCGGAGGAGACGGGGAAAGACTGGGGCTCCAGGGCGTCTAGGGAGGAAGGAGGTTGGGGACAGGCGCGCCCCACGGAGAGGCACCGCGGGCGCCCACTCACCTGCACAGGTGAAGTGGAACGCACGCTGGCGGGACGCCGGCGCCGCGTAAGTTTGCAGCCTGGGCTAGTGTTGCGGGCTCGGGAGTCTGAGGAGGGCGAAAGCGGGGAAGTCTCAGGCGAGATCGTCGCCCGCGGCCCAGGAGGTGGCTGTGGTCTTTACCAGCGCGGACGCGTCCGGGCCAGACTGGAGGGGTGTCTTGGTTGCACCCAGCGGCCTGGCCCCCGCGGTTGGTGGCACCCCCTCTGCACTCCTGACTTGCCAGCCCCGCTTCCAGCCCGTCTGCAAAGGAGAGCTGGCTCGGACAAGCCTGTCCTTGGATTGTGGGCGCTTCTGATCTGCAGGGGACCCTGCTGTCCCAACTCCTCTTGGGCCCCTCTCGCACTGGCGTGCGTTTGTGTAGTGAGCGTGTGCTGGGGCCCTGCGTCCCTGCCTCTTCCTTGCCTGCCCTGGAAATGGCTCGAGCTTCGGCTGCTTCTCGATTGATTTCTAAGCGCAAAGATTGCAGAGAACGCAATCGGCTGGGGGAGACGGGTGCACCCTGGCCTCGTTCCGTGACTCTCCTCTCAACCTCTTGCTTTGCTGGCACTGGGCGCCGCTGCGCTGCACTGGGACCCCAAGTCGCCTCCGAAGGGGGCTCAAGTCCCAGCAACTGGGCGAGCACTGGCGACCCCTCCCCACCGCAGAGATTTCCTGCGCCAGCCACGTGCTTGGAACTCCACGCAGGCACGCAGTGGAGTTGAGGGTCGGGGCCTGGAGGCCGCCCCTTCCTTCCCTGTCCCAAATCTTGCCTAGAAGCCGCTTCCCTTTCCCTGTCCTCCTGACCCCAGTGGCGACCGTTTCTCCACCGCCCCTTGCCCCGAGTGGGGGCTGGCTCAGTCTGCTCGATTGTGTCCAGAACAATACAGTAACGCCTCTGGTTGGGTGAGTTCAGAGGCTGCCCGCTTCCTGACAGGACACAACTGGTCAGCTCTGACGTTGGCCGCCCGGCCTGCATTTTCCCCAGCTGGGGTGTGTGTGCATGTGTGTGTGTGTGCGTGCCTGGGGTGGGGGAGGTGTGACTGCTCCTCCCCTCCCCCCTGCCTGCCTTCCCGGCCAGGGCAATGGCCAGGTCTCCCTGAGGGTCCACTGGTGTTTAAGGGTCCCAGCAGGACTGGGCATTCCCAGCCCACTCAGTTCTGGAGGAGAAAAACGCTTGCCGTGTGGAATAATCCGGCGGGTGTCTGCGTGAGTCCCAGCTGCAGGAAGATAACTCAGTCCTGAGCCTGCCTGCGTGTGTGTGCGTGAGCACATGCACATGTGCTTGCGTCTGAGCTCACGCACACATGTGGGTCACACCGTGTGTCGGGGTTAGGGAATCCTAACATACCAAAGGCAGAAGTGGGGGTGGAAAGGTGGTTTTGCGGCACATCTTAGAATGATTTGGTAACTAATGCTTTCCAGCCATGGCTAATTCCCATTGACGCCACCCCAAGGAAAGACTGTGGCCAAATGCTGGTGAGAATATATTGTGACCAGGTGGCAGCAAAGGTGACTTTGAGCTCACCTCAGCATCCCAACCCCTCCCCAGAGGAAGGGCCTCCCTTCCCTGCCAGGCTGCTGACCCGGCTGGCTTTGGATTCCTTCCAGAGGATCTGCCCCCCAGCCTGGCTGGACCGTCCCCACAAGGAAGGCAGGGCAGGCCAGGGAAGCGCCCGAGAGCCACTCGTTGGACAGTGGCTGGCAAGTCAGCCCGGAGTGTAAGAACCCCGGCCACAGACCTATTCTCGGCTTTACCCCCACCCCGGGAGGCACTTGAGCCTGGCCTGATGTCCCCCAGGCCCCAGCTGGCTTCTGAAGACAAGAGAACCCAGGCTTTCCATCAGCAGAAGCTGGGCGCGGATTCCTTCCTCCCGGGGCTCAGTCCCTCCGGCACACCCGCCCCTACGCCAGGAGGCGTCTTGAGGGAAGAAGGAAGGGAAGGTCTGTGTAGGGGCAGAAAGCGGTGATCCCTCCCCTCCCCGTCATAAACGCTCGTGGCTGACCCTTTCCTTTAACGAGAGAAAAGCGCAACGCATGCATCACTGTTACGGGCACACGTGTGCACACGAGCCATACAAAACATGAACTCGAAGCGGGGCCACATGGTTGAGGCTTGATGCTCTCTTCTTAGAGGAGAGATGTGTGGACCCAGGCGGTGGGAGCCAGGGGGAAGGTGAGTGTTGCCAGAGCGGCCCAGGAACAGAGGTCGATTATGCGGGTCAAGTCCCCCAGTAGCGGAAGAGTTAGATGGAAAGTCCGTCTGGGCGTCTTGGCGCAGAGACTACTGCCAGTGTCTTCCCCAAGGTTGACCTTTCCTGGTTATTCGACAAGATCTCCAGGGAGGGGGTGTTAAGACAATCATGTTTCTTCGGGAAAGAAGTTTTACTCGGTCAAATTAGGGAATTCCAGGGAGAGCCTCTTCTCCCTGCGCTTGGGGGGCCAGGGCACAGGACAAGGTTAGGGGAACCTTGGACCTGAGGCAGCTTCTAAGGCCAGCTTAGCGCCAGTCCTTGGGGTACTGCTTTCTGCACCAGTCCTTGGGGTACCGCTTTCTGCGCCCCGGCAGCTGGGAAGGACGAGGCTGCTGCTTCGGCCGGCCAGCAAGGCAAAGGCCGAGAGCTCAGAGCGTCCCCACGAATGGTCAGCCTTGACCCCCAAAACTCCTTCTTCATACACTCCTCTTTTTTTTTCCCCCACGCACATGTTCCCTGTCACCTCTTAGCTTGTCACCTGTTGCAAACAACAGGACTTGAGTCATTCGATTTTTGCATTGTGGTTTCTCCTCCCTCCCGTGTCCCCTTCATTCCCACTGAGGACCCGGTCCTTTCTCCAGAGTGGGCCCCCCAGCTGCGGGAGTCCTCTGGGGACTTGAGGTTCCCCTCGGGGAGCCTGGCGGACTCTGAGTACTGAGGGCCGGTCAGGCCCAAAGGTGCTAGGTGAGGTCCCTGTCTGCAGGAGCCTTCTGCTATGCCAGCCAGCCACAGAGGCGGTTCTGAGCCCGGTCCCGCTGGCCTGGCCGGGCCCCTCCCTCCACCTCCGCCCGCCCGCCCGTTATCTCAGCTCTGCCTTCTGTTTTTGCAGACTCCAGCCCCCTGTCCCCCACCCTCGGCGTTTTTCTCTCTAGCGGATTTTCATTCGCTGTTTTCCAGGAAAGCAGAGCTCTTGGCTTCCTTCCTGCTGTGTCTGTCCCACCCCACCCCCAGGCCGGCGGCCGGGCTGCGGGGCAGCTGTGGGCACCGCTGCTCCTGCCCAGAGGCGGCATGGGCCTCCCCAAGGGGACGGGCGGCTTTCGACAGGGGAACAGGGGGGGGAAGGGGCCCCCACCGCCCCTGGGCAGCAGCTGACGCCCACCCTCTGGTTCTCAACGCTGAGCGAGGCTGAGGGGGAAGGGCCAGGGCGAAGGCATTCCAGGAGAGGACTGGTGGTAGATAGCTCCAGAAGGAAATCTCTGAGGACCTCCCGGGACATCTGAGCAGCCCTGGAGGATGCCAGCCAGTGTCATAAATTCCTAGAACGTCTGTGCGGAGAAGGGTCCTTCGGATAAGCCAGTCCGCCCCGCGTCTTACAGGAGGGGGAAGGGGCTGCCACTGGCCAGGGCGGGCGCAGCATTCCTGTCCGGAGAGGGCCTCACCGTTCACCTGGCTGGACTTGGGACCCACGGGCCACACAAGCTGCTTTAAAAAACCGGGTCCCTTCCCAGCAGGACCCAAGCCCCTTTGACCTGGAAACATTCCAGGCTGGGCGAGGAGGGGGCAGGCATGGGACTTGTTGCTCTCTATTCCACCGGGACATGCCAACCGGGGGACCTGCTCAGCCTCCATTCCAGGGGGGCCGCCCCCACCCCCTGCAGGATGCCCACCCGGAGGTCAGGGCTGGTGGCCACAGGCGAGCCTAGCGCTGGCCCGACCCTGCTGCTGGGAGTGTGGTGGTCCCGGTGGGGGGTGCGGGGAAGATGGGCCTGGGGGACTGGTTCTTGAGCTCAGATCTCCTTCTGTCTGCGTGGCCCTGACGGGGGCTCCCCTCAGCACCCCCACACACCGCAGCCCCCGGGATCCAGGCAGGGGAGTGTGGGGCCCAGTGTGCCAACGCCAAGCACATGGCCCGAGGGCAGTGGGAGGTGCTGGCTGCAGGGGCGGGCCCAGGCCGGCCCCCACCCCCTGCTCGTCCACCCTCTTTCCCCATATGGTTCTCATAAGGTCTGGGCTCCGAGACAGCAGCCAGAGGAAGTGGCTGTGCACAGAGAGCTTTTGTGAGAGAGGAGGGGGAGGGGAAGAGCGGAGGGAAAGAAGGAAAGAAAAGAGGGGAGAGGCCAGAGACAGAGAAGGCCCAGCACACCCCGCGCCCCCAGCGGTGTGGGTCTTGGGGGCACACCCCCACTCGGGGCTCAACCTTCACCCGTCTAAAGTGAGGGGCACCGCAGAAACCCACGTCCCGCCCGACTCTGCCCAGCTGCACATTCCTGGGGCTGGAGGCAGCCGGCTCAGGGTGCAGAGCTGCACCTGGGCCTGGGAACCCCATCCTTAGGCTCCCTCTGCCGCGGGAAGTCACGGTCCGTGGTCCCATCCCAGGGAGGGCGCCGGGCAGAGATCGGAGCTCTCTGGGGCTCAGTGGCCGAGTCCTCACTGCACCAAACACGCTGGAGAGGCCGTCGCGCTGAGCTCCAAAGAGGACCCGTGAAATTCAGCCCCAGCAGGTCCGGGACCAAACGGGTTCTTTGGTCTGCATTTTCAGCACGTATGCATGAACCCAGCCACTCCTGGACCCCAA